AACATTAAAAAATAACTAATAACTCAGGTAGATCTGTCTTCTCTGAAATCAAAGGAACTTGATCATTAGTAAGTATGCATGTTAGCTCAAGAAATGTCATTAATGTAAAAAATGACTTACTCAGTTGAATTTTAGCAGTTATAAAATATCTTTGTATTCTTAAAATAAGTTCAGACACTGAAATTTCTTTATCATATTGTTTAGCAAGTATTAGTTGATTTGTATCAAAAGAAATTTGTACGAAATATGAAAATCTAGTAGAGAAAAATTAGTATAGAAAAGAAACTTCTGTCATCTCTCTCTAGTAAATAAATCCCAGTGTAATAAAATATACCCCTACCCATCTTGTTGTAGGAGGAAGAAAATGGATTCATTTGTCTTCACATTTTATGTGATAATTTGTCTTCTGTGTGACTTGGGCAAGAGCTATTTTTGCCTTCCATTTTACTCTCTGTAAAACAAGAATCTTAATGTCCATCTTTCTTGATTATGATACTTGATAAAATTATATACATAGTATATTTTATACTTATTATTTTGTGTTATGTTATATCCCACAGAGAAGAATTTATCATCATGATCTCTATATTGATTGTTGTCCACTGTAATTGTAAAAAGAAAAACAAAACCAGGATGTGCATGACAATTTCATCTGAATTACAGTAACTCCCTCTCATCCATGTGTATAAGTTCCAAGCAGCAAACCTTTTTATATTGTTTTTCCTATTTATACATTCCTATGATAAGACATAATGAGTGAGATAGTAAGGCATTAAAAATAACTAATATTAAAATAGAACAATTACAGTATACCATAAGGGTGTGCTGTCTGTCTCTGTATGTCTGTCTGTCTCACTTTCTTCTCAAAGTATTGGTAGATTTTTTTCCTTACATGCCATGAACTATGTAAGTCTTTGCAGTTTGAGGTACAATAGCAAAACTTGCAGTGTTTGCTCTTTGTCAGTTTTGTAGAGGATTCTTTCTTACTGTAGATAACTTGAGCATCAGTTTTTCCCTCTTCTCAAAGCTAACATAAAGACTTTCATATTGTAGCTTCTACTCTGCCATAGCCCAAATTAAAAAATCACTTCTCTTGCAATTTGGAGCTATTATTAAGTAAAATAAAAGTCTCTTGAACTGGAGTGAGCACTGCAATATCAAGACAAGTTCATCTAATAACCATAATGGCTTTTAAGTGATTCACTGGTATGCAGCGTTCACAGTATGTATATGTCTGACACAGGGATGACTGAAATCCTGGGTGAGATAGTGTGGAATAGTGGATTTTTACCTTATTATTCAGAATGCAATGCAATTTAAAACTTATGAACTATTTACTTCTGGAACCTTCTGTTTAATAGTTTTGGACCATGGCCAGCTGCAGATAACTGAAACTGCACATGACAGGCCACTACTCTCTAGTTTGTTCTATTTTTAAAAGTATCAAGTGTAACTATATTAATTTTGATCATTTTGCTTTTTCTTTCTGAGTCTCATTTAAAAAAAATTTATACTTTTTTGATAGTAAGATTAAAGGAGACTACCTTATTTGTTAGGACCTGGAACATTTTAGGTAAACCTGGATCCCTACGGAAGTATCCTGATAGAGAGCTGTGGGGCATGCTGGAATCGCGTCACTTAAAATAGACTGTGCAATCCATTCCCAAGAAGTTTCTGTGTGAATTTTTCAGAGTGGTGAAAATCTCAGGTAAACAACTAAAAAGAGTTTATCCAACTTGTTGACTTCAGTCTCTTTAGAAACTTGATCAGCCTTACCAAACAGTTCTTTGATTTGTTATACTCTTCTTCTCAAGAAATTTTATAAGGGGCTCTTTTCCCTCTAATATTTTTGTAGTCTTAAGACCTTGTGATCAGGACACAAAATTTTTGCCACATCTTCTCTATTTCATGAATTTGTGGACAAGATCTTGGCCAACTCTGGGATTTTGCATCTGTTCCATTTTCATAGAGTACGTTTCCCCCAGAAATCATCTGTGGGTTGGAGTGAATACTGCAGATCAGCATATCTCAGAAATTCTCATGGGGAAGTTGCCTGTAAGGATTTATTTTTTGAGGAGATGAAACAATTATAAGGTCCATTATTGTGTTATATAAAAACCATCTAGAAATAAAATCCTTGAATACAACAACAATAGTTCAAATTTCCTATTTTTCCCCATCATGTTGGGATTCTAAACACTGCAAAGTACATGTGTCTGGTGTCAGTGTAGGTTTTATTCCCTCTCCAAAGTCTGCCATAAAGTTAAGATCTTCAATGTCTCTGACTACTCTCTTAGCTTTTGAAGACTTCTGCCCTGAAACATCAAGAGTAAGTTACTTTTCTTGAAAAAAGGAATTATTTTTGAAATGACAAAAGAAGCTGGAATAACGGGAGACTGATAATGGAAGACTTTTGTACAAGACACAAATGATTTTACCTGTATGTTCATAATATAAGAGCCTGGGGATATGGCTCAGCAGCACAAGCATCTGCCTGGCAAGCACAAGGTTATGAGTTCAATTCCTGGTACAAAAATAATGATACAGAATAAAACAACTATAGTACGTTAGTATTTTTAGAATAATGATGGAGGAAAATGCACAAGGGCAGACCTGCACTGAAAGTTGGCATCCATGCCATAGCACAGCACTTCCTGACCGTTGTGGGTGTGGGCTGTACGCAAGTCTTCTCACTTCCACTCAATGCTTTTAATGTGCTGCCCAAATGTCAAGGGTCTTTTTAATATGTCAGGGCTCACTTCCTTTCATCTCCTCTTTCTGACTTTTTCTGTTTTTCTGTCTTTTTTATGCTCTTACTTGCCTTGTGTGGACAGCTTTGTCACAAGGACCATATTCTAATTCTCTAAGTCTGTAACCTGCTCTCCTAGAAAAGCTACTCAAGGCAAGTGTCCAGGATCAGTCATCTTGCTTGATAGATTTGTAGCACAGAGCCGTGCATATTGTCAGTACTCAGCATGTTTGCAGAACGTTGAATATGGACATAATGAGTGTATCTGAGTCTGTGCATTGAGCTACTATAGCTTATTTTGATGGAGGGATAGAAGCATAAGATATTGAGCTGATTTTTGAAAATAAAAGGAAAATATTTTTGGTAATTTCACATAATCTGAGTTTGTATAATCTGCTACATTTAAGTTATATTTTTACCATTTGCTTTTGAGTAATAAAGTGTTTTCTATGGAACTATGGAATATCATTTTTTGTTGTTGCATCAACCTCAATGATATGAATTAGCTAGCATACACGGAAGATTACTGATTTGTATCCTTAATCATATTTTGGAGGAATTTTTCATTTCATAGTTTTATATAGAATATTGCGAGTTTTTTTCAAACTTGAAGCGTTCAAAGTTTAGCATCAAGTCTTACTTTTCTCTTGTTGCTGAGTAAAATACCTGACACCCAAGGTTAAGGAAGGTTTATTTAGCTTGCCGTTTGTAGAAGTTTCAATCCATAATCAGCTGGCTCCTAAGCAGGGTGGTGTGGCAAAGGGGCAATAGTTCAGGGTGGCAGAAGACAACAAATGAAACAAAAGCAGAAAGGGGAGAAGAGCACCCTTATGGTGTAAGGCTACCAGATCTAAGGCAAGTGGAGTACTCAAAATCTCCTTGCCCTCCTCTGACAGGCTCAGGATGTTTACAGAGGACCCTAGCCCCCTGCGGAATCACTTAAACTTATTAATTCTCAGGCTGACACAAGGAATCAACCATTACAAAGCATTCTTGAGATTTTAAAGAGCTATTTTAACACACATTTTAAAACCTGCGAAACAATTTTCACCTTTTCTCCTTTCTAACCTTTTAAAGAAAACCTTGTTTCACTTCCTGTTTATGAAGTGGCCTTAAACTTTAAATCCCTCTATTGTCTCTTCTCATTAGAATATACTGTTTGAAATGTCCTGGCTTTACAATCCCTGAACTTCTGATTTATATTTGTGGACTCCATCAAGAAAAGTTTTAGATTTTTGACGAGTATCAGTAAAAAGATGTTTCAGCTATGGCTTAGTTCATTTTGTGTTACTGTAATAATATATCAGACTGAGTGATAATGAAATTTATTTGGGTCATGGTTCTGGAGGAAGGAAAGTTCAAGTCAGAAGTCGCCTCTAGTTTGGGCCTTTTTGATGCCATCTGTCTTTCTGTGAAAGGCAGGTTAGGGCATGAGAGAAGGGAGAGAGTGAAGACAGGGTGAGGGAGAGGGGAAAACAGGGCAAAAGGAGCTAAAGGCATGCAGGCTGCAAGGAAGATGCATCCAAGACAGAAGCCAAGCATTTTCTATCTTCGGAAATGACACCCCAGGGTTTCTGCCAAATTGCTCACTAGCAGTGAATCATTAAGTCTTCCCCAAATTCAAGGCAAGAGTATTACCCAAAGGTAATACTAGGATGTGGGCATTACTTGGAACCATAGTAGAGGCCCTACCTCAGTGAGGCACTGTGTATTTGTTAAATTTAAAAGCAGGTTTTGCAGGTGTTTGAATTTTAAAGTGTCACTCTATTGCATCATATGTTTGAGTCCTTCACCAAAGTAGTTTAAATAACAAGAAGAAATAACATATAATTCTGGAGATCAAGTCTATATTCCATAAGTGCTCATTTTAACAAGACTATATTAATCAAACACTTTTAAAAGTGTATTTAAAAAGTGAAAAAGTGTATGTTAGTGCAAAGAAAACACAAACTACTAGAATATTACCAAAGGGTTACAGTAGTGTGTTATGAAGGATCATTTTCTAAATATATAAATAATCTTAACTCTTGGCTCCATTATAGTCAAAGACATGAACTGATATTCAGAATTTTAAGATACTAGAGGCATTACCTATTCCGAAGTACTAAGTATTAACTACATCACAAATCTCAGAGACAGGATGCAGAGAAATGTACATTTCTGGAATGAGGCAATAATTACTGATGTTGAGGGCCATAAGCATCAAAAATGTGCTGTAGCCATGTCCTAAATGGGGGGAAAAAGTATACTGTTTAAAAAAACTGCAAAATGGTATTTATTTACATTAAAATATGAAATACCCATATACACAGATTTGAGAGGCACAACCTGTTCTGTACATAAATTGTAATGTTCACTACATAATATACATAGTAGTACCTGTTGGTTAGTGGCTAGAATGAGAATGGTACCAACACATCCCTCGTAAAAAATAAATTATTCATTCATATTTTCTGATCACACAAGACACTTAGTATTTTAAAAGGTATATACTAAAAAAGTCAATGTACAACAAAATAGATTCATTTTATGAAAAATGATTTCAGATGGTCATTCATGAATAACCCATTTTTAGGATGCATTTTTAAATAAACTACATTGATTATCAATATTATGCATATATTCCTCCCTAAAACATGACAGAAGAGATAAATTCCTTTTCTTAAAAGGTATAACTATTGTAGAGAATATGCTAAGCTACTGCCCCCAACTTCCAACACTGCCATTCTGTTTTTAAATTGGAATTTAAAGTTCCAATTCTAGTATAAAATTAGTTTCCTAGTTCTGAAAATTGTTTCCTTTTAAAAGTGACAGGTTGCTTTGAATCTTACCAATATTCTAAGAAATTTAAGCTTTCTTTTTATCTTAAAATGCTTTAGGTTAAAGCTGATACTGTATGTGGAAATTTTCAGACAAATTCAACATTTTTCTCTCAAAGAGTTTCACAAAGATATTTTTCAATTCTATAATCTAACGAGGTCCAGAGAACACCTCATTATTTTCATAATGCAGTGAAAGATTCATCTTTGGCATTTCTCCATTAATTCTAAAAACACAGTATTTGATATCATATATTGCACACATGTTCTTAAGTTTTAACAGCAGTTTCACTTCTAAGAAATATTTTTCTTTTTAGATACGCAAAAAAAGTCTTAACATCATTCACTTTTTTATCATGAAAAGCTGAAATGTTTGATGTTGGTGAAATAAATGTGTTTAACTCTTCAGTGACTGGAAATTCAACATCCTTTCAAATTCAACACTGGATAAAACAGGTATGTATTCAACATTTTAAAAAAAAGGAACTCAAATATAAGTTTTTAGTATTAACATGAAGCCTAATAACTGCAAAGGAAAAAGGGTACATTATCTCAAATCATGGTAATCGAACTGCTATATTTTGTCTCTTCTTCCCTTCTATGGCTTTTCTTAAAAAAAGCAAAAAAATACAATTGCTATAAATGCTGATTTGCAGAAAAATTTTCTACATTGCCTTCCACATTAGAATTATTCACAGTTTTCTTGCTCATCACACACTAAGCTTTTGGATGAAAACTGTACAACTATTTAAAAGTAACAGGCCTCTTACAGTTTGAATTTGGTCATGCAAAACTAAATATGGAGGAAAATCTCAGTCAAACTGAGTAACATTTGATAGGTTAAATGCATGCATGCTACAGGCCCTAGAGTTTACTGAAAATACAAACAAAATCACAAAATAAGTGGGAATTAATGCTATTTACCAATGTGAAAAAGTGTTAGGTAACAAAATGAGATAATAATGGCAGCCTTCTTGTGACAGAAACACATTTTAAAAATTCAATTAATGATTCCTTCCTGTTTTCTAATCAGACAGAACCATGGAAACACAGCAAATGATGCATAAGAAATAAAGGAACTATAATATAAATTGTATATTTTTACTATCTACTATAGAAACCTTTCATAACTAGCTATTTTAGAAACAAAATAAACTTGTTTATTAAATACATTAAAATAATCTGAAGTCCATAAATTGCATGAATATGACACATAATGGGACACTGCATTGTGAAAATAAATGTGTACATGCCTGTTAGTATTAGATATGCAGCTTAATAATACTGCTATCTCCCAGCTCATGTAAATATCTGACATCAACACTGTTCTTCAAGTATAGACAAAATTAAGTTACATGTGATATGCAAGAAATGGTAAAGAAATTACCAAGTCCTACTAATGCAATTTAGTAAGAACTGGATATCTTACAATTGGCACTATTTAATGTTAGATGCATATGGTTATCTATTTCCAGAATCCAATAAATACAGCCAACTACGTTCCTCTAGTAAATTTTTCAACTCTAACTTTTTTGAGGTACTTGCTGGAATAAGATGTCTCCAAAGTGAGATTTGGTCACATCTAACCCTAAAACAAAATGCTACATAAAATTTCCCTATATGTAAATATTGCTTTGTAGGTAAGTCTGTGAGCCATTTGAGAGATTTTCTTTTTTAGAGCAGGTGGTCTGTTAAAGGGAAAGTGATCATTAGATAAGATCAACATTCCTCAGAATTCAGTTGAAGTTGGTTTTTTGTAAATGCTTATTGGGAATTTCTAAAGCACTGACTTGCAGAGGCCAAGAGCCTCCAACAATCCCTGCTTGAATGGCCACTCCGGTCACCACTGCCAGGTCAGGGTCTACAGACGTGTTGGGATCCTTCCCAAAGAACTCTTGAATGACTTGGCGGATTCGAGGAATGCGAGTAGAACCCCCAACTAACACCACCTCATCAATTTCAGTCTTGTCTAGATGGCCTTCTTTTAATACCTGCTGAATGGGCACAAGGATTTTCTGAAAGAGATCTTCATTGAGGGTATCAAAGAGCTTCCGAGATATTTCTGTTTCAAATAAAACCTGATTTTGTCTACCATTCTTTTCAGAAAGGCTAGGTTCAAATGCTCTGTTAGCATGGTAATCATCTGCTGGGGTAAGTTTGTCCTTTGGTCGTTCACTGTCACCATCCAGAGGTTCCTTTCTGTCCTTTTCCTCGACTGTTAGTAATACTGACATCTGGGCAGATTGATGAAGAGTCAGATTTAATTTGACCATTTCCACAGCTTGCCTTAATCTGTGGATTTCCTCTTTCCTAGAGGGGAGGAAGCCGTACGTTTGATAGATCTGTTTATATAAATACTGAAGCAACCTCTGATTGAAGTCCTGTCCTCCAAGTTTGTTGTTTCCTAAGAGAGAAAGGAAAAACTTTCTATTAACTTGTACATCCATAAATGAGTAAATGTCTATAAACTTGTGTTTATATAAAAATTATATTCTAGAATAACAAATTCCTTATTAATACACTAACATTATATTCACACAAAAACTGATTTTTAAAAAAGGCACTTAAAATAATTTATATCTAAATATGTACTATTAAAATGGAGTATATGCTAGGACTAAAATATTTAAGTGATATAAAAAGAATTACCTAATAGTAATTTTTTATATTCTGAACATAGACTGGCTTGTTGGGTAGCTATATTCACTACTCTCAAAAGAAAAAAATATTTTTTACAACCAAAGAGTACCAGTAGGGTTCGATGTAACATATAAAAAATAAAAATAAGAAAATTATACTACTCTCTAGTAATATAACATACATCCCCAAAATTTAACACAGCCTGGTTTGTTGAGTAGCTATTTAGAAACACTGTATGTTACTATTAGCAAAGAAGACAATGCTTTTTATAACTAAAAAGTACCAGGTGGGTTTTAGCAACATTAAAAAAATAATAATAAAAATAAAAAATTATGTTACTCTTCAGTAATATAATATACATCTACAACATTTAACTTGGTTTAAGACAGAATCCAATTAAGACAAAAAAAATGCAGATATTACAAAGATAATGTACAGCTCAATTTTTCAAACAGTCTTAATTCCTTAACTGAAACTGAGCAAACAATAACTTTAAACAAGAAAAAAGAAAAAATACAGAATGAAACTATCACTTCTTGGGGAACACTAAATTAGATTTTCTAAACATGCATATTTTATAAACATATAATCAAATAAAAAGAACTGATCATTCTTCATTTTAAAGGAATGTTTCTCCCTCTGCTCCTTTTACCATCACTATGAAAGAGCTCTATTGGCTCAGTGCTCCAGACCTGGCAGTCCAATCTGATTTATAGGCTGTCTGGTCATTTTTTAATTTTTAATTATATATATATATATATATATATATATATATATATATATATGTAAATATATACAAATTAGTAACATAAATAACAGAAAATTATAAAATGAAATCAAATAATTTTGGAAACCAAAATTTAAAAAATATTACATATTAAATATTTTCAACAAAGTATTGCTTCAGCCTGTAATTTTTGTTTTCTTACCAGACATTGCTCGGGTTAGAAACATTCCTCCTTGCTTATTCAGTAAAGACACATCGAGGGTTCCTCCTCCCAAGTCTATTACCAAGACATGGAAAACATCAGCCTGGTGGAGACCATAGGCCATGGCTGCTGCTGTGGGTTCATTTATCACCCTTAAGATCTTTAGTCCTGTAAGATTGATTGGAGGGAACATTAATTCATGAGAAAGTGCTATTAAAAAATTCTCTCTTACTTAACCTCCTAACATGTTTATTTCTTTTCTGACACAAAATTCACTGCACAGTAACAAAAGCAGTCACAAAATCAGCAGAACTAATGAAATGCAAATGATAAACATAGGTTCTGTTACATACATTAAAATTAATCTAAAAATTTCAATATAAAGAAATACAACTCCAGGCTTAGTGAAATATGTTATCTTCATTCTTTACTAAAATTTAATTTTCAAAATCCCACAGCCTTTCTTAATATTCATATTCTTCTTAGGAACACATAAAGTTTTAATTAATATGCATAACTAATTGCTGGGAAATTATCTTGTACAGTTAAAAGATGAGATCCCTTTAACAGAATTTTTGCTTTGAACTTTCACACTTGAAAAATGTGGTCTTCAAATCAATATGCCATTATCTCTTAGGAGCCACAACAATATTCAAACTTGGAAGACCTCTTCTTAGTATCTTTCTCCGTGGCTCTGTGACTTCTTGACTCTGCACTGGCCATACTGGCCAACTTCCCATGCTCTATCAGACCTCCAAATTCCTGCTGTTTTTGTTATAGCATTTCCATTCCCTGTAACAGTCCACTGCTTCCATGGCTAACAACTTCACTTCTCTAGAACTTAGAGGTCCTCATCCCCTAATCATCACCAGCAATCTCTTTATTCTGCTCCTGTGTACAGTTACTTCCTGTGTGTGTGTATATACATATATATATGTTTATATATATCCTGTTTCTCAACTAGAGGTGAGTTTATTCCCAGGAGACACAGTAATGAATGAAGGCATTTTTGACCACCATCTCGTGGTGGGAAAGGATGCAGCTAGTAGAGAGTAGAAATCCTAACAGTACTCTGTTAAATCACAGGACAGTTCCTCACAACAAAGAATTATCCTTCCCAAATGTGGTACCTCGCTTCACAAATTTAACTCTTTCTGCCATATGGCTGAAAATAAACTACATAAGAATCAAATTAAATTTCTCTGTAAGGTCAATATTGAACTTAACTACTGAATTTGATTTTATGTTTGTTCTAATCTTATTCAGTTTCCTTTGAAATATGACCTACATAAGAACAGGACTTATCTGTTATTTGCTAAAGCATTTAATATTGGTAGAATAGTTTAAATGAACTGTCTTTCACTTTAGATTTTTTTGAAACCATTATATTCATTTTAACACTAGTTTTAGAAGAGGAAAAAAAAAAAACCTCAATATTAACGTGCCCATGTTCTCTCAGTCTTTGTCATGTATCTGATTTGCTCTTCTTCTGAAATATATATTTTACACTGCTACAGGGTTTTCATAATTACCACTTATAAAGATATATAAAAATTCATCTAATTTACCTGATACAAAAGTTATGTGCCTAAAGCTGTGATTTACAAAGTAATAAAACTGCCACACAAGATTTCCAAACTAAACAAAATCTTGAAAAAAACACATCAACTCAAGCAAGGGTGCCATTACCTGCAAGGTTAGCAGCTTGAACTGTTGAATTTCTCTGTTTTAAGTCAAATTCTGCTGGTACAGAAATGACAGCATTGGTAACTGGCATTCCAAGATATTCCTCTGCCATCTGTTTTAATTTCAGCAACAGTCGAGAGCCAACATACTCCGGGGATACAGTGATGGTCTCATTACTCGTCACAGAAAACTCAACCATTCCATCTTTGTTTAAGACCTGTGAAGAATATTAAAAAACAATAAAAGCAGAAGTGTGTAATACATATGTACATATATAACTACACAAATACATAAAGGATTTATTCAATAAAAATCTACATTTATTTTTAAAAAGTTATACTATTTAGTATAATCTCTCTGGTACATCTGCTAAGACTAGAGCTTATTAAATGTTAGGCATGCAAAGCCATAAAATGAATTCATATTATAGTCTTCAGTAAGAGCATAACGAAATTCATCCAAGCATATAACTACAACACAGAATATTCTTATTATGTCCTTATTTAATGAATTAAAGAATGTTTTCAAGACCCTCAATGGATGACTTTTCATTTAATGCCTTGAATGGGATCTCCAAATTACCAGAACTCTTGCAAGCATCATACACTTGGAGCTCTCAAGCTCTGTCAATTTGTAATTCTGCATTGGCCATAAGAGCCAACTTCCTATTCTCTTTTAAGCCACCAAATTCTCACTGTATTTTGCTATATTATTTCAATTCCCTATATAGTCCACTCATGCATCTCAGGCATTAATAAATAAAATATACATTATTTGAATTCAAGTAAATAGATATCTCATCTGATAAATTAGTTACTACTAGGCCACTAGTGGGTAGGCAACACATACAACAGACAAAAGAACAATACAATCCTAGGTAGGACTATACTAGATAGTATGAGATTTCATCACACTACTGGGAATGGTGTGCCATTTAAAATTTACGAATTGTTTATTCCTGGAGTTTTCCTTTTAAAACTTTTCGACAGTAGAAGTATACCCATAAAATGCAAAATCACAGAGAAAAGCAGACTAATAAAGGGGACAACAGTTGCTCAAACATGATTATAATTTATCCCTTTTTCTTTTTTTTCACAATTAACCTGTGTCCAAAAATAACAGCTATCTAAAATAAAAATTTTAATATTTCACTATGTTCTTATCTAAGAGGCAAATATCGCTTAGCTTCTAATTCCATGAAAATATGTACTGTATGTTAACTCATCATCCTGGCTAATGCTGATTTTCATTTAAAAGTTAGATTAACTCTAAAACATACTGCCCTAGTTTTATTAACAAATTATGTTAATAGCAATAGTAAAGAGAAATAGTCTAAGAAATCATAAGAATTTTTCACCAGTTATTCAAAATCTTGTTAAGTAGGTTTCAATCAAGAAAATATTATTTTCTACAGTTATTTCGCCAGGCTGGGACAAACAAATCCAAGATACACAGATATTACTAATAAAATATATAAAGATACTAGTACCATCAGAAACAAAGAATCAAGTGACCTAAAAACCGTAACATAAAATAAATTTTAGATCAGTAATGTATCCAAAGTTGTAATTTACAGGAAAAATATAACTTTAGATTACTTCATCATTACAGAAAGATTATAAAACTAGAAAAAAGCTAGAAAAGAACAAAGTAACAGACCTAGAAGTGCACACACGATTACTTGCCCAACCTAAAACATTGTGGTATAAGGAAAGTAAGATATTGTGTACTGATAGGGGACTAATCATAAAATAACGGAAGTCATTCCACATAATCATTAAAAGATACCTAACTGTGCATGAAATATTGATGAGTTTCAGGCAACTCAGGAAACAACACGTCTAGTATGAATTCTTTATATGTATACCAACAGGTGCACACACATACATACACATACAACATATCATGATGCCTCATGAACCTTCATGCTACCTGGAAAGAGCTAAGCAAACATTCTGAAGATAGCAGTACAGGAACATGGTAAACTCTAATTCCTTGACAGCACTGGGGAGTCACATAATTAACTCTCCCTGAAGCTGCTGGAATTCCTTAAGTGAATTAATGTGATTCCAACACAAATTATGCCACTTGAGATAGAATGTTTTGCAATGTGGTATCAAAACATCTGAAAACAGGTATAATAAACATTAAAATTAATCTCTTACCTTAAATGGGTACCTGCCAATTTCGGCCTCAAGCTCTTCAGGGGTGAAAATCTTACCTATGAATCTTTTGGCATCATATATTGTGTTTTGAGGATTTGAATCTGCCAGCTCTAAGCTCTCGTATCCCACATATACATCATGGTCAGTGAAGGACACCATGCTGGGGATGCTGTTATGCCCATTTTCATCTGGAATCACCTTTACTTTTCCTGTGCCAGGAAAAAACACTCCAACGGAACAATAGGTGGTACCTAAATCAATGCCAATCACTTTAGGAGTGGGCAGTGGTAAATACTGTTGCGCCAAATAGCCAGCCAACAGGAGAGTCAAAACAGCTGATCCTGAAAACAGGCAAATTAAAAGATACGTTTTATCAGACAAATAATTTTAGCAAACATCTCTTAACATCACTTTGTAAAACAAGACCAAAATTACAATCTCCAAATATTTTATTTTATAGAACTAGTAACACTTCTCTCATACATCAAGATTTTCGTAATGTAAACTGCCTATCATTAAAAAGGAGGTAACAGCAACACAAAAAGCCCCTGTATGGCTATGGAGTTCACCAACAAGAGAATAAAGAAAATGTGCAATATTTTGGTAATAATACTGGTGAGGTTGACTCGAAAAACCATCTGGAACCAGGGCCAGATATAGTCAAATTCTTTCATCAAGTGGTCTTTCGATTTTACAGCTTTCTAAACATTTTTTAGTTATTGTTACTAAAAATAAACTCCATTATTGAAATTCTCACACTGAAAAAGCTTTGCTACTGTAAAACTACTTTTTTTTTTTTTAAACTCCTTTTCCCTTTCAAATGTGTAAACCGGAGACAATGATTTTGAAAGTTGCTTAGGTATTAAACTTTAAATCACAGCACAGCTGTTACTTATAAAACACAGCACAGCTAGTTTTTTATGTAATTAAATTACATAATGAATTAAGGCCACAAGTTTTGCAGAGCTAATATTTAACTAAAGATTTAAATATTTAGCACTAAATACTTAATATTTAGGAGAAGTATGAACGTGTGCAACTCTGATGGCCACGTACATGCAAGCTTCTTGGAGGCAAGCTTGCCTCACTATTGTATCCTCCACGAGAGGAACAGCAGATGCTCAGTAAATACTAATGAAGGAAAAACAAATGAATATGACCCAACAGAACTGATACTGTAAACATAAGAAAGGAAAGACAACACTCTTATTCTTCGTTGCGGCTGTGTTACACACCTGCTTCCACTCATCTAAAAATACTCCAAAACGTCAGTCTATAGTACAGTATTTACTACTGTCAGCTCATTCTCAACAACTCACTCAAAAAAATGAAACCCAGCGCCAGTTCTACTTCCCTCTTACACCTACAGATAGTTTCAGCTACATTTCATCACTTTTAGGCGAGGATGGTTAATTCCCAAGACTATTTGGTGTTAAGGATAAGGGGCCTGCATCTTCTTCCCAAACTCAACATCCCCGGCTCAGCACCCCAGGCGTCTACAGCTCCACATGCTGATGCTGGTCCTCCCTCTCCCTATATAAAAAGGGTTTTGGGAGTCTCTCAGAGGACCGACTCCTGGCAGCAATTCTAAGCCGAGTTTCTTTTGGAAAGGTCGTATCGCTCAGTGAGGGAGTCCTTAAGCCACAACCAGACGCCCTATCAGGGCACAGATGGCCACTCCTCAAAGAAGCGCCCCACTCTTACTTCAAACATCCCAAACCCGCCTGTAAGTCACCTTTCCAACCGCCCTCCTGCCGCGTCAGTTGGATCCAGGAAGTGGAACAAACACCCTGCCCACTCCGGCTTCCCGACTTCCCTGACGCCCGCCACAACAAAGAGAGAACAGGGACCGAGCGGGCACCCACCTAAAATCGTCATCTCTCCGGCCATTACCGTCCCGCGGAAGGAGCTTGGGATGACTGCACCTTATGCAAGGCTCCGCCCCTAAGCCGCTGGCGGCCCCGCATTCCGCTGGGAACTGTAGTCTTACACAGCCCTAGATACAATTGCTCCGATCACAGCACGGACTTCACCTACCGAGATGCCACAGGCCGAACGCCTCCATTCAACAGCTGCCAGTGACAACAGAGACGCCTTCTCGCCCAAGAGCTGTAAAACCAATGAGGCTGAGGCGGGATCCAGCCACGCAGAAGGACTGGAATGTATAATCAAACTTGAAACGCCCCAAACCAATTCGATGTAATAATACACGTCGCCTGGCTCCGCGCTTTGCATTTTGGGAATTGTAGTTCAGGCCTTTGCCTTACAGAGTGAGGGAATAGTGGGAGGGTGGGTACCAAGGGGTCATTACTTGCTTTGGTTCTGTCCATAATCAGGCATAGGTTGAGCCTTTGTTCTTTCATTCTTCCCTAATTTAAAGCATGCTTCTTTGCTTATAATTTAGATTATAGAGTTTTCTATCCACCCATCTCTGCCGGCCTCCGCAGAAGAAAGACCCCACGCCACAGTGCAGGCCTAAAGAGAAAGATTTGGTCTGTTGGTCCTACTCACTGTTCTGAAAGCAACTCTGAAATCCCACCAGATTTTTAGGTCTCCGCTTTTGTTTGAGCTAAATTAATTCAAATTACTGTAATCGTCAATCAAAGCGATTTAGCAAGAATGCAAGGACAGGATTTTTCTATTACTAACCTCTAACAAAACAAAACACTTCAGCTTTCTCTTAAATTGTAAGCGGCCAGAATTACCTTTATGGGCAGGTCCTACAATAAAGATTGGTCATTTAGAACATGTGTGAAATGTTTTTTCAGTTTTTAGTCTATAATAAAACTCAGTTTTCTTCATCATGGTCACTCAGCAGCTTATGGCTCTTGTTGAGAGTGGTTTTGTCTTTATTGCTGTTAAAATTCATGAAAACTAAGATCCCAGAGGTTTGACGCTGCATCCACATTTTACATATATATATCCCTGATGACAACAGATCTACTTGGTGTGAGAACAAACTTTTATTAAATTGTCTAGTTTAAAAAATATATAAATGTTGATAATTATTGGATCTGAATTATGACTGAATATTTACTATGATATTCTACTTTTCTGTTTTAAAAATATGTGAAATATAAAAAGTATATGTCTATAGTGAGTATAATTCAGTAGAAATATGAAGAATTCATAATTCAAACAATGAATTCATGAATACTATTAGGTGTAATTATAGTTTTAACAAATATTAAGCAATTACCATATGCTACAGAGTGGTAGCCATTCACAAAACCCAAAAGGAGAGACATGGTCAACACACATTTAATTTGATATGGTGTATGTCACAATTTCAGTAAAGACAGAAGGCAGAAACAGAATTTGAAAACAGCTGTACTTTTAACTTGAAGATAAGGTCTGCTGGAAAAGAATACATCTAAGCACTGTTTGGAAGAGTAACAGTGAAGACATAGGTTAATGATGTAATAAGCAGTAGGCTGCAGGTGTTCAAGGTAAAGGGAAGTAAATTATTAAGTGGGTAGGAGCAGAAGACCATTTACTATGGTTTATATTTATATGTGCCCCTAAAACCTCATAGGAGCCTAGGCGGAGCATTTGGAAGATGACTGAATTATAGAGGCATTATACCTGACTTGCTTTTGGGAGGTGAGGCCTGGTTTTAGGAGGCAGGACAGTGAGGGTGTGATCCACAAACTCTATCTCCTTTCTTAGCTTCCTTTGTTCTCTGGACCTACAGAAGTCCACCCAGCCAATATGCTCATTTAACTCCCTTGAGGCTTTAGTTTAGGAAAAAAGAAACTCTATATTAACAACTTTTGTCTTAAAAGCACAATAACTTGCATGCCATAGGTTTGCCACCACTACTATAGGCCTATTTGTGGAAGACATTTTGAAAGGGTAATAATGATTAAATTATAAGTGTATAGGCTTTCCATTTATAGTCATGATGGAAATAAATGAAATTATCCATACTCCACAAAGTTAGGGAAAATATGGTAATATGACAGGAAACAATAATTTCAGACCTTGGAAAATACAGAAGGATTATGATAACTGAGAAAAAGGAAAAAAGTAAGACTTGTAGTAACTTTGGATTCCTACTCTGAGGCATAATTCAAGACCTCGCTATAGAGCAGAAAATCCCAAGGAGAACACAATGGCCTTGCTAGATAGAAGTCACAGATGTCAGTTAAAGGAATCTGCAGAAGCTGACATTTCAGAAAAATGGTGAAAGGTCTGCAAAACAGCAGAAATTTATGCAAGGATATGTCTACCTCTTACTATATACACAAAAAGGAATTTGAAATCACTTATAGATCTCAATGTAAAAACTAAAATTGTAAAATTTGTTAGTAAACTAGAGAAAATATCTGTGACCTTTCAAAGATTTGCTGAATAAAGTACAGAAATAATAAACTGTCAGAACTTGGTAAATAGAATATAATCTTTAAAAACTTCAAGGACTGAAAAATAGCATACAGAAAACGTTCACAATACATATATCTTACAAAAGACTTGCATCTAGAGGATATGAATACCTCATACAACTAAATAACATGACCAAAGATTAGTTATTTAAATTTGGTCATAAGATTTTAATTTTTTGGACATACAAATTACATAAATTGGATATAAAAATTAAAACCACTGCACATTCGCTGTAGTCTAAAATTTAAATGTTGATATTAATGTGGAGCAACTGGAACTCCATGAACTACTGACTGAAGGTAATGTAAAATGCCTTATTATCTCTGTGAAAATAGTTGGACAGCTTTTAAAATAAAGTCATACATATACTCTCCTTTTGATCCAGCAATTCTACTTACCATCTAACTAAGAAAGATAAATAGCATCAGAATACACACATAAAAATACATGAAGTGCCTTAGTGAGACCCTTTCCCAGATTAAAAAATGTGTAAAACAGATTGGGGGTGTAGCTCAGTTAGAAGATTGGGGATTCAAAACCCAGTACCACAAATACACACACACACACAGACATATATGGAGTAAGTTTTTTTTTAATAATAGCCCTAAGGTAAAAACAATGTGTCCATTAATGGTTGACTGAATCATTTTATTGTCCAGTTGTGCCCAAGGGATATTATAGATATCCACAGGAAGGTATGTACATGAGTAACTTTAGTAATTCTGTTTCTAGGAAGTTCTAAATAGAAACAATCCAAATGTCTCTAGGCAGGTCGATAAATATACATTTTGTTATTTTGCAGTAAATCCACATAATGTAATAGTACTCAACAATAGAAAAGAGGTTATTCTTGGTTACAGCATTATACTGAATTGAGTGAAAGAAACCGGGCATAAAAGCATTTATACTCTGACTCCTTTTTAGGAAACTCTAGAAAAGAAAAATCTGATCCCCAGGAGTGTAAAGCAGAGGAGACAGCAGAACTTTTGTGGTGCATCAATGTTCTTTATCCAGAGGTGGTTATGATATAAAGCTGTGTGTGCGCATGCATGCGTGTGTGCATGTGTGTGTCTATGGCACAATCATCAGATGGTACTTTCACAGTTGATATAGTTTATTGTATGAATATTACACATCAATAAATTTGATTAGAAATGCAAAAAAAGTTAGGTACGACAGCTTCAGAGAAGAACACCAGAAATTCAGAATATTCTACTTTTGGGAATCTACATCTATTATATTTAAAAATATTTTTGTTAGGACATGTTTGCAGTCCATAATTTTTACATTCCTTGTGGGGAATTGCTTTATGTATATAATACTTAACTCATTTTTCATCCCTTTTCTTACCCTTCTCTCCTTCCCTTTGTCTCTTGATTTCTTTACCATGTAGAGAAGGATTTATCTCCTTACCTATTATCTACCTTTTATTTTGCTCTTTATTTATATTTTGACTTTCTCATATAAGAAAAACCACAATGTGGTTTTCACAAGCTGGTGTGTCTTATGTATTTCACATAACACAATAGTCTCAAAGGGCATTCCTTTTGCTATAAATGACTCAAGTTTATCTTTCTTTATGGCAGAGTAGTGCGCTATTGTGTGTAAATACCATCCGTATTTTACCAGTCATCTATCGATGGACATATAGGCTGCTTCCAAGATGTAGCTATGACACAATTATTGTAACACATATCTGTTATGGTTAAAACTAAAATGATCCCTAAAAGAGAACCAGAGGGCCAAGTGACTGGGGGAATGACTTTGGAGAGTATATTATTTCCCCTACACCTTCCTTCCTTCTCTGATTCCTGCCTACCATTGTTTGAGCAGCTGTTCCGCCCCATGCCACCAGGCCATTTCTACCTTGGAGCCAGCCAAACATGGGCTGAACTCACTGGAATCTGTGAACCAAATAAACCCTTTCTCCTTTAAAATATGGGTTTTGAGTACAGTGTCCCCATTGTGGGAAAGTGACTGATGGGAAACATGGTATCAGAGCATCGAGGTTTTTGCTGTGACTGCACATTACTATATGGTTAGAAGTCTTTGGAACTAGTTGGCTGGAGGAGCTTTGAAAGACTTGGAGACGTCAGATAGAAAAGCCTTAGGATGCTGTTAGCTGAGTTTGATGAATACTTCTGGGAGCATCACCTGGGAAAATATATTCTCTATGTTTTCTCTGCACCCTTGATGCACAGGTGAACATCTTTCTTGTGCCATGGTTTACCATCATGCTGATCCTGCCTTGTAACTAACCATATACTGAACCCCTGAAAACTGTGAGCCAATAAACCTCCCTTACTTGATGTTGTAGTGATCTGGTGTGTTGTTTCCCAGTGACGGAAAAGTAGCTAATACAACACCTTAATTGCATATAGTAAAAGACTTAATGTCACAAAATAGTTGAAAATAAACTAAATAGTTTACATTCTACCAAATAGTGGAATACTATGCAGCTATAACAAAAGTGAAATTCATTTGTATTGTGGTATGTAAATGTCCTTATGCCATGTTAATTAAAATCAATTAAGAATTAGGACAGATACTATTTAGTTAGTTATTAACATATTTTGGGTGAATAGATCATATATTTGAACCCCATTGTATGTCTA